CAAGTAGCGGAATGCTACAGAGGTAAACAAACAATATCATTTGGAAGAGGATTAATAAGTGTTGACATTCATACAAATGAGTAATCCTGTAAACGTAAACAGAATATTTTATATAGATTTTTTTTAATGAAAACTTAAAATCCTGCATTATTTTCCGGACAACCCAATATATATGCATTCTAATAGCGTTTCGTGCATGCAAGAATAATAAAATTGTTGTTGAAATTGTTTTTTAGTACATATGTGTGACTTTTTTTACACCCTCTGTAATCCGAATTGTTCAATTCGAATGATTAATTCTGGGCTATGACTTGTTCGGATTAATCAGAGTGAGCATTGTATATTATTCAATTATGAAAGGTATTGGTTAAGATAAAAAAGTCAGTGTCAAGAGCGGGATTCGAACCCACGACCTTCGGCAAAATACGCCGGTTTTATCTTAACTGTCCCTTCCAATAATTTAAACTTTCTATATTTCATTCTATAGAATAGAATAGAATTATTTATTGTCGTATTATACATTAGACACATAACTAAGAAGTTATGATTAAAGACATTGGAATTTTAACGCAGTGTTAATTAAATCATGGATGATTTACTGTTGTAAAATAGCTGAAAGACTGGTCGGTAGTAAAGAAACAGTACTTTCAAAATGAAGTTTGAATTAATGCCGGATAAGGTGTACAATGGCCATGAATGGAAATGTTTTGCTGTGGATGTAAGCGTGAGGGATATTGATTCTGACGATCTCGCACGAATTAATGATTCATGATGGGCGAGCGGGGAATGGTGATTATTGCAAAAAAGATCCCAGGATTCATTTGCAATTTTGTGTTGAGGTCGAAACAGTCTCAAAGTCAGAACTATTATTCAAACAAATTTATTACTTTTGAAAAGATAGGAGATGCGTGATATTCCGTCGCAAACCACTCTGGGCTTTTATCGGTGTTGAAATGCTAATAATTCTTTCATGACCACTTGTTTAATGCTGTTATTAACTTGTTTAATGTCGGGTCTGATTAAATAAGAGCACGTTTTGTTTTAGAGCTACCTTGTGGATTAAGTGAATGTGCTAACATGAACTTGGAGCTAGAACCATGAGAGAGGAGGACCTGGAGATAGCCATCAAGGTAAGCTGATCTGGCATATGAAACATGCTTTATTTTTGCAATCTGTTAGCAAACTTGATTTTGTATACAGACCTTTTTTCGTCAAAGTCTACTTCATTTCATTTTCTCATGACTCATGTCAAATCGCGATCATTATCACTTCACACAATTAAATACGAATTCATTGCATTTTCTGGGAAATGACATCAAAATAGTTGTAATTTTTTTCTTTAGTTTAAGAGAATGGAGTTTTCCAGGCTTTGGTGAATTGTTGAAAATCACCTAGTTTTATTACAACTGCGGTGGTAGATGGACAAATTATATATAATTTGTATTGTTTCACTATATGTTAAGTTATGATATCTTGTTAAAGTTCGTGCAGTACACCCGATCTTTTCCGATCATTTTGAACTGCCTACCAGTTTCGGTTTCTCGTAATCTTTCCTTCTTTTGAACAGTGGTAGTCTTTTTTATTATTATTATGGCATCGTGCTTACACATTAGCCAAGCCACAGTTCGAATTTTCATGAATTTTTTGGGGTGGGTAAAACATCTTGAGACGAGAGTGGGACTCAGCCTCACCGAGCGTCTGACGCTCTAACAACTCGGCTTCGCAGACCCACCACTGAATATGATGGGAATCAAAGAATTTATCTTGATGTGATGATATCACCCCAAATATTATAATTGTATATAAAAAAAAACAGGCATAAGGAGAAGTAGAAAGAAAGCAAAACATTCAAGTCCTTCGTGTAGCTTTCAAGAAATTGCATGAGCACTGAGGAGAGATTAAGTAAGTGCGTGATGAGTGAGAGTCAGTAAATGAGAGTGATGGAAAGTGAGTGAGAAAAGGGGAAATGGGAAGGTGAGTGGGTGAGTGTGTGAGTGAGAAAGGGAGAAAATAAAAGTGAGTAAGTGAGTAATTGAGTGAGTTAGAGATAGAATGAGTGAGAGAGTATCATGAATTCTAGGGTCGACAGTGGGAATCGAACCCACAGAGAGTGACGCTCTAATCACTCGGCTACGCAGACCCACCAATGAATATGGCGAGAAGCTGAAAACGTTTGACAGACCAAACCAATGTCTAAACATGACCTTTTTAAAAAAAAATCAATTTATCATAAACACAACGGTTTGAATCGATAAGACGGTCGAATCCAAGAAATCAGCAATCTAAGAATTCATCTTCATGTGATAGATACCACCCTAAATATTATAAATGTATAAACATTATATAAAGTATTAAAAAAAACAGGGATGAGAGGAAGTAGAAAGAAAGAAAAACACTCAGTTCCTTCGTCTAGCTTTACAGGAAATTTATCGAGAGTTTGGAGGGCGGTAGATTGGTTTAGGATAAACTGCCCTATTAAGCTCACAAATTCATTATACTTGAAGCCATAATTTTGAAAATTTCTATTTTTTAACCGTGCAAATAATTAGGCATAGTTTCAAAGTCTTGATGAAGATAATCATCGAAAGCTTGTAAGAACTGAATGTTTTTCATCCTTTCAAATTCGCTTTAGTCCTGATTTTTTTAATATATAATAATAAATTATCTATCTAAACCTCAAAACTATCTCAAAGAACTGGAAGCACTAAAATTCAAAAGGTTGATAGCATTCTCTGCAATTTCATCTTAACAGAACTGTCCACTTCAAGACATTTGATATTGACTCAATCTATTATTTATTGAACAACCAAAACGTTAAAGTTAAAAGTTAAAATTCAATAATCGCAGACAGTTGAAATGACTTTTGTGAAATTACCCGGCTGAAAATAATGTATTTTTCTTCTTACCGCAAAGCTATTAGATCAACCAGCCCTCCACGAGGTTTCTAGGGCATATCGGACGTTTGAAAGAGAGAAAAAATCTCCAGAAAAAACAATATTTCTAAGTTAATAGGCACCCAGCTAATCGTCTCATAAGAAAATAGAAAATGCGGTAGAAAGTCTAGAAGTAATTACGAAAACATGCACTTACAAGGAGAATCTACCGACGTGGGATGGCGGATTTCAATTAAAACAGTTTTGTTGATACCAGATAGAAAAAGATAAGACACGAGTCTCGAGCCTGGGGTCGTCGGTGGCCGCAAGGTTTAGTCTTTGACACGGCGCTCATCACTGTAAGGTAAAGGTCCCGGGTTCGAATCCAGCGGCCCTGCATTCGAACCCGACATACTTACAAATTGGGCTTTTTTTTCAAAAATACCGGCACCCTGAGGGTTGATGTGACCTCTGCTGTTGCGAACCCTCGTAAAAAAAAATAAAATAAATAAATATTATACTTTCGAACGGATGTATAAACGTTTTTAAAAAATTTAAAACTTTTTGTCCGGCCTACAATTTTTGCCTCCCATTTTTTTGGATAATCAGAAAAATTATGGTAACATTGAAATCAATCAATTTATCCTCAGGACACTTTATATACATTTAAATGTTCCAATTTACACATAATGGCCTGGTCTCTAAAAATAAATCAAAAACGGATATATAAACTAAAATGTTTCAGGGGTTGTAGTTGATTTTGTAATTATTTTGCTCACGTTTGCTCNTATTGGCACTGGAAAATATGGTTCTCTGCACTTATTCTAAGATTATTATATATAAGTATTCGTTTTTGTTTTACCTAGGATAAAAAAATAATATCTAGGAATGTATTAAATGAGATTAGATGAAAAAGAACAAACCCCCCCCCCCAAAAAAAACACGAAATAATTTTTTTCCTCACAACTTTTTCACCTTCCAAATCCCGCCTTCGACTTTTTCGAAAATCATAAAAAAAAAAAAACAATTTTGTAATGCGTCAACCTGTCTACAGGAAACGTTTCTAGCTTTTAGAACCCGATAACTTACACGTAAAGGCACAAACCTGGCCACTCTTACAACGAAAATTTATATCTTGGTGCTGAAGAATTCCTAAAAGATTCCCTTATTGTACCAGCAGTCTTTATTACTTTCTGTTGTATTAGGTATTTGTGAATCACAAATTTAAATATTAAAAAAGGTAGATTCGCCATCTTCTGACAGCGATCGATTGATTCTTATCAGACAAGACTTAAGGTCAACTAAAAGTGTTGATGGCTGTTAATTATCCCATTATATAAAAAGGCTTATAAATAACTTTTCTCAAAACGGAATGTATTGAGGGTAAACGACCTTTTATTTATTAACGCAAGGTTAACCCCCTCATCTCAATAGATAAACAACATCGCGTGCTTATTGGTGAATAAAAGATTCATTGTTAAAAAGAAGTGACACCGACCCGAACACGCGTCGTGTTGATCGTTGAGAACAAGCAAAAAATCGGTTACTGGGCACCTGGCATGTAATTACCTTTTTCATCTTAATTTTTCATACTGTTCTAAAAGGAAACTGCGACTGGGACAAGATGCATAGTCATATGTGAAGGAAAGTGGTTAGAGGCAGTTCCCTATTTTTAAGTTTTGCTTTGGTTGCTTTCCTTTTTTCGTGTAGCACACAACAGGAGTAAATATTTAAAAAAAAAATATTATTCCTTGAACTAAAATAATTGACGGTTGACTAAGTATCTAAAAGGTCAGAAAAAGTTCATTTTTATGAGAATATGAGGTCAAACTATACAAATTAGAATGTAGATTTTCCCCGTCAAATTACCTTTTTTATTGGGGTTTATTTACACTTTTTCGCACCAAACTAGACCATTTTTTATTTCAAATTAATTCTTTTTAACCTCAAATTAATCATTTTTAATATTTTTTATGCTTTTTTTCTTTGCAGACACTTTCCAATTAACCCTGTTTAATTTCCAGTAGCTTTTAACGTTTCATCTCGTAGGTTTTATTTTTGATGTGTTTCAAATTTCCATATGTCCCAATGATTTTATATTTACTTTTGATTCAAATGCACAAATATTACTTGCGTGCTAAAGTTAGGAACTGGTTAGGTTAGTTGAGTTGGGTTGTGGTAAGATTAGGATTAGGGACGAGGTAGATTAATTTAGACTCTAGAAAAAAAATTAACTTGAAATTAAATAAAGTTACCTAAAACGGTTAATATGACGGTAAAAGCTATATATCATTTTTAATTTTAATTGCAATGAATTTTCATATGGCCTTCTAAAACCACAATGATTTTTTTTTTTTCAAATGGAGAAATTTTACTTACGTGGTTACATTTCATACCGTTTCTATGTGTTTTTATGTTTTAAGGAAAGGATTCATTTGAAATTAAAAAGAGCTACTGTGAAATTTTAAAAAGAGGTCAATTTTAAAGTTGAAAAAGCTAATTTGAAATTTAAAAGGGTTTAAGGTACAAAAAGATTAATTTGAAATTAAAAAGGTTTTATTTAACCGAAAAGCAATATATAATTTTTAATTTTAATTAGGTGTTATATGGACTTCTGCCAATGATTTTATATTTACAATTTTTTCAAATGCAGAAATTTTACTGTACGTGCTTACATTTCAACAACCCATTTCTAGTTTTTTTTATTATTGTAAAGAATTGGTCCATTTAAAATAAAATAGCTAATTTGAAATTTAAAAAAAAAAAGGTTAATTTCAAAGTAACCCCCCCCCAACAAAAAAAAAAAATCAAATGAAAAAGGCTAAAATGTAAAATTAACATTTTAAGGAGCTAATTTTACTTACGTAAAAAAAGGTTATTTTCATGCGAAATATGGTTGATTTGAAATTTAAAAAAAAAAGGTTAATTTCAAAGTAACCCCCCCCCCCAACAAAAAAATCAAATGAAAAAGACTAAAATGTAAAATTAACATTTTAAGGAGCTAATTTTACTTATGTAAAAAGAAGGTTATTTTCATGCGAAATATGGTTAATTTGAAATTGAAAAAAAGGTTAGACCTCGTGAGAGTGAGAGGTCACGATAGCTCAGGTGGTAGAGCAGCGGCGTATCAAGCCGAAGGTCGTGGGTTCGAATCCCGCTCGTGCCATTAACTTTTTTTAATCTCAACTAAAAACCTTAATTAATTGTAATGTATTAATTTAAAATTAGAAAAGGTTAATTTGACGAAAAATGCTATA